TTCCAAGTGACAAGGCAACGGCAAGCCAGTTCATAGCACAGCTCTCCCGAGCAACACCGCCATAAACTACAGCTTCCCTACTGGATAGGGGAACAAAATGCCACAAAGGGGAACAGACTGTTTTCAAACCGCCCGGGGATAATTTACGAACAGGGAGGAGATCAAAAGAAACCCAACTCCAGCTTCAGAGTTCAAGGAAGGGCGAAGTGACAGAACAACACGCTGCTCTGCCCCTACGTCCCCTCTCACTCTACTCTGTTACTTATCCCTCCATTAACCTTCTCCAGCCTTTTTTTCCTTTCGTGTATCTGCAGCCATCCTGAGGAGGAGCCTTTGCTAGCCACCCACTGAGCCTGGAGACTGGGCTCTGTCTCTTAATAGCACTCACTACACTTTATTAGATTAGTGGGTGAGCTTTGCGTTCCTCGCAGCGGAGTGCTGAGGGAAAAGCAAAACATAAAGAGCAAACCAAGCAGAGGGAGAGAGGAAGATCACTACAGTGTACATGACAGGTCGATATTGCTTTCTAACCTTGCACAAGCTGTCCTCAAGGAAACCTTCTGCAGACATCTAAGCACTGCAGCAAGAGCCTCGTGTGCAGCGCTGCCCGTTCCGAGTGCTCAGCACAAAGCTTACGGCATACCAGGAGCCTCCCAAGAATGACAGCCTCCCGCCAAGCCTGAGCTCAGTCAGCTGTGGGAAAGTTTGCCCTTAGCATGCAGAGGATCAAGTCCCATTTCCTGCCCCCAAATTCTGCAGCTGAGGTTTGAAGGGGTTTCTTGCAATGCCGGCCATCTTGATAGCGACATCACAACGCCCGGCCTGTGACTGCCCTCGGCAGCCTGATGGAAAGGGCAAGTGTTAGGCAGCTTTCAGCAACAGTAGCCTAGTTCACAAAGGCAGCAGGTGGCTGAAGATGTAGCTTTTCAAAGCTCTTCCAAAGGCGCGGGCCTCTAACCTGCTGGAATGCGTTCTGTAAATCCCCCCGGGTGCCTATCTGCAGCTTTTGACAGCTAATCCCTGAATAAACCTATCCCCATCTGCAAATCGAAACACCCCCAGGCTAGGGAACGGTGGCACGTGGGAGCACTTATTTCCATGCCTTACTGGAGACTCAGAAGCCCAAGTTTAAGCCCTGTCACATATGGGAGATCCTAGCAAGCCATCAAGCCGAGGGCAGGCAGGCCACCAAGGCAGCCCCAGGCCAGGCTCCCACTTCAACGTCATTTCACCAGACCTAATCTGTTCAGCTAGCAGATCAAAAAGAATATTGTTCTTACTGCCAACTTCAAAGACTCCCTTTGGGATGCAAGAGTCAAATTTCTTCCCCTGCTTCTGAAATTCTCACTGGAAGCCGAGAACCAAAAACGCTGTCAGCGACGCATGAGGCAGAGCAGCGCTGTGGGGTTGGCAAAGGCCAACCTTCAGCAGGTCAGAATTGTTGATAAAGATGCACATTGGTCTCAACCATTCTGGTGGCAGCCATGCTGCTTGCAATTTGCCTGAACAGAGCTCAGAGAAGCTGAGATAGGGCTGGCGGAGATTGAATTACCTCCTGCTGCCTGGCCCAGGGCGTTATTTTTAGGGCAGGTTCTGGAGTAGCAAAAAGCAGCAAGTGGAGCACCAGCAGTTGAACCAGCTCTGTCCCCACTCTGGAAAGAGAGCACCAGGGCTCTGCTTGATCTACGCTTCCCTCAGCCAGGCACCTTCATGACAGCTCCACCCTCCCCGGAGCACTGCACCAGCTGCACAAACCTACAGGTTTTGGGTAACGTTTGAGAAGCTGGCAGAAGGAAGATGTGCCGCAGGAACTTGTCAGGGATGTGATTCAAAGGATGCTGTTGAATAATTCAGGTTCCAAGTTTAGAGGGGTTTAAAGAGCAAAGGGAGAAGAGGAGGAACAAGGTTTTGTTTTTTTTCTTGCTTTTTCTCTTTTTTGTAACGGATTTTGTTGTTGTGCGAATGAGAATGAAAAATTGGCGATAGATTTTTCCACACTCCACTCAGAATCAAAAGAAAAGAAACTGATTATACACAGTAGTGTCAAAAGCACAGAATAAACAAAGACAACACTTCCCTACTGCTGAACGATGTCAGGTGTTACAAATCCCAGCGCTTTTTAATTCAAGTGGAGAACTATTTTAAGGCGGTGGTTTCCCTTTCAGCTTTCCTTTGCATTGTTGGAAACCTAAACACCAGGGTTTCACTTAATGCATGACTGCCAGAAAAACCACATAGCCCAGCTTCCCTGCACAAAGATTACGAGGTGGCACTCATCGGTTGCGTTTGTAGCTTTCAGGTTGCAGATGCAGAAAGCTGTTAGCAGAAAAACAGGCGGAGGATATTGAAGGAGGGACTTTCAGGGGATTACCGTGTCCCCTGAGTTTTGCTCAGGGCATCAGCATGCGCCCATTCCTACCTTCCCCCATTTGTTTCATGAAGCAGAGATGACATCCTACCCCTCTTACTCAGTCCAAGCACTAGGCTAACCGGAGCGAAACTCCTGCTGCTGCCAGGCAGAGGGGAGCGTTAACCCACCGGGAAAACATGCACAGAGGGGTGAGGACTTGCTGTGAGCCCCAGACAGAGCTGGTGATGGAGATACCTCACTGCACAGATGTTCCAGGGCTTCATGTGGGATCGAAACTATGATCTCCCTTACCTGCCTCAGTCACACTGAGGTGCGCTGTCAGAGTCTGTCTGAACCGCAATGCTCGTGGAAGGAGAAGGGAGCAAAGCATGCAGCTCTGCCTTTGGGCTAACACACCCACAGCACTCCCCCCAGATAACACATTTCTTAGTTTAAAAAAAAAAAAGAGTAAAATCGAGGGGTCAGGGCTGCACTGGGACTACAGTCACTGCAAGCAGGCTGCAACGACGGCGAGGGGTCTACTGGGGCACCAAAGCACCGCTCCTTCCCCAGTGCCTGCAGCTCACAGATGGGAGCTCACACAGCGAGCGGGATGTGGGGAACGGCGGGCCGAGGGAAGGGAAGGGGCCACGAGGGGAGAGGCCGTGAGGGGGCCCTGCCGCCCCCAGCTCAGGCCAAGCACCGAGGGCACGGCGAGGGGCTGGATGCGCCATGCTAGGCCAGAGAGATGTAAATAAGAGTTACCTTCAGCAGAAAAGTTTTGGGCTTCGGTCCTCTCTTCTTGGGCCCGTACAGCTCCCGCTCGCGCTCCCTGCGGGGAGGCAAAGCCAAGGGTTACGGCCGTCCCGGGGGGGCCCTTCCCGCAGCCCCCCACCGCCCGCTCGCTCGCTCACTCACTTCTGCTCGAAGGCGGCGATGAGGCGGGAGTCCAGGATGTTCTCCTCGGGCTCCCAGGTGCTGTACCTGCCGGGCGGCACCGCGACGCGGGTCAGAGCGGAGCTCACCTCCCCGCGGCCCCCCGCACCCCCCCAACCCGCCGCCCCGCACTCACTTGATGGCCCCGCCCTTCCATTTCACCAGGTACACTAGACGCGCCCCTGCAAAACACACGGAGGAGACCCGAGGGGGGGACGGGGGGTGGAGGGGGGGACTTCACCCCCCCTCCACCCCCAACCCGCCCCGGGCCGGGCCGGCCGCCCCCCCGCACCTTTCGGATGCGCCGCTTGATGATGGACTCGGCGGCGAAGACGCGCTCCCCCACTGCAGACAGCTCCATCTTGTGCGCCTCGGCGGCGGCGCCCGCAGCCCATAATAATCCCGCGCGCCCCGCCCCGCCCCGCCCCCCCGCCGGCTCGCGCGCGCCCGCGCCCGCGCGTGACCCTCTCCCCCCCCATTCCCTCCCCTTCCTCAATATGGTGCGGGGGGGGGAAGAGGGGGAGGAAGGCCCTTAAAGGGGCCGCAGCAAAGCGGGAGCGGGGCTCGGCTGGAAAAGTCCGCGCAGCCTTCGGAGATTGGCTCATTTAAGCGTTCATTAACGCCTAAGGCGTCAATGTACTTAGCGCCCGTCCGAGAGCCGGGCTGCGAGCGTTCCCGAGCAGACGCTGCATTTCGACACGGACACCTCTGCAGCGAGGCTGCCCAGCAGCAAGGCTGAACCCTGCAAGATGTGCCTCCTCCTGCAGCAGCCGTGGGCCAAGCAATAGCCTGCACCACCCCTCCAGCCTAAGCGGTACCCACGGTATCCCCAGAGCTTTCCTACGAGTTCCACAGGCAGGCCCAGGTTGTGGCAGCACCCTCAGGCTTCCAGCATCCCTCCTTCCAAAGCCACTTCCTTGAGGAGCGTGCCCTGCTCTCAGGCATCCCATCAGGTTACCCTGCATGGGTCTGAGAGGCAGCACAGCAACAGACTATTTAAAAAATAAGCTATCCAGATCAACCTTTACTCCAGCCAGCACACGCATGTGGAAGGACAAGCACTGGGCACAGAGTGCCAGCCAGCCACTGCAGCACTGGCAGGGGTAGGAAGGAAGTCTCTGGAGCAGGCTTTCCCGTAATGCTGCACTGCAGCTTCTTACTCCTTCACCTGATTCCCAAGCTGCTGCCAGCAAAACAAGCGGCTGGCTGCAGGCCTGCACCCATGCCAGCGGTCAGGCCCAGCCCCACCAGCTCGTCACAGGCAGGCTGGATGCATTTTGTTAATGTGGGCAAAGCCAGCTGACTGGCATGACTGCCTCACTCCAAGCTACCTGAAATAAACCCAGGGCCCAACTCCACCTCACCAACCAAGAGCTGCTGGGCTCTTGGAGAGCTCCCTGGAAGCCCCACAGGCCAACAAACTCAAGGCCACCCCGTCAGCAACACGAGCAGCAGCCCAAGCTGTGCTGTTCCCAGGAGATGTGGGATGCAGGCGATGGCCGTGCTCTCCTCCAGCTGCTCTTGGCAGATCTAATGAGCCCAGAGCAGCAGCCATCCCGTGAGCAGCACTCTCTTTCTCCAACTCGGATCCATCAAAGACCAGCTGTCCTGGGTCACCCCTGTATAGCTCTAACTTACCCAGTGGTTAAAAATTAATAAAAACCTAACCTCCTTGAATTGAAGTAATGAGTAATGCCAGAAACAGCATTTTGCACGCTCTGTACTTCACAAACCTTTTTTTTTTTTACTGGTCGTTCTCACGCACGGGCCTTTTTTCATTCTTTTTCCAACCACGCTGCATGTTTATACCAACAGGAGCGACTAAGGAGAAACAATTCAGCCGTTAAATTAAAGGAAAAGGAGGTAAATAACCACACAGACAGACCATTAGGTAAATGTCAGTTCTCATATTTAATATTTTCATAATTTTGTTTGCAACATTTACCACATAAATCATCTAAATAAATAGATGCTGTACAGTCTCTTATCCGTATCAGTACAAAAATAAAACCACACTTTGTGTCAAATTATACTTGCGCCTGCCCTCCCTTTGCCATTACAACCTCTGCTTACGACTCACGCTCGCTCAGACAAGGCATGATACTCTGATTGGTTCATGTGGAATTGGTTTACGGCCTTTTCCCTCCCTCCCAACCCCCCCAAATACATTCAATTAGTCTGTACAAAAGCTAGAAGCTCATTCTGTGCAAAAGAAAGCTTTCTGTGTGCAAAGACTCTCATACTCTAGCGTGCTGACAGAAACAACAGCTGAAGAGACATGAACAAGAACCAGGGACCCTCTTCTCCCAGTAGACCCCATCTTCTGCCCCCCAGCAGAAGGGAAGCAGATCACATTAGATGAGTCAGTGTGCAAAGAGTCCAAACGGTGTGTCTAAGCTAAGGGGAGGGTTGGAGCCAAAGACCCCAGGAAAGAACTAAGGTTCCTTTGACTGTAGAGCATGCTAAGCAAGAAAGAAGAGCCTCTCATCTTAGCCTGCTCAAAAGGCTCTTTAGATATGCAGAATAAAAGCTTCATTTGGATGAATTCAGTTATTTGGTTGCTGTTATGTTGGAGATAAGGTGAGGAAACAGCCTCCAGAAAAATCCAGCATCTACTGAAGACAGCTTCTGGCTCACCCTTCCCTCCTTTCCACACCACCTGCAAGAGGACAGGTGCCTCCCCATTCCTCAACCAGACTCATAAGGTGCAATTCTTCAGGCCAGATATAAAGATGTCTCCAGAGCTAAAAGATGCAGTCAGTTCCAGACTAGGACCACTGCAACTGAACTTCCTCCTCTTCTTCCTTATCTCAGATAAAGGAGGTGGTGGGGAGGAAGCCAGCACACAGGGCACTGTGAGCCTCCCCTCCCTCCTTGGTTAGCCTCTTCCACTCAGCAGGGCTGAGGAAACTCTCCCCTCAGCCATGGGAGGGAGGCTAAGGGCTGGGTGGGAACTCTGGAAAAATAACAAGGGACAGCTACCGACCTGAAATAGATACATCTTTTCAAACGCTTTTAAAATGTTTTTCAAATGCCACTTTCAGGCAGACGACAAGGAGTACTTTGCACTCCCAGTGCTTTGCATTTTCAAAGTGCTTCAAAACATGCTTCAGACTAAAAGCAAAAAAAAAAAAAGCTGCTTAACGTCTTGACAGACTTGCAAAGAGCTTCTTTGTGCTGACACTACGCTTTCTGGTTAAAAATAAAATAAAACCAAGTCTTTCCACTTCCTCTGAAATCCCCCTCCCAGTCAAAACTGCTATCCCAGTAATGAGATAAGCTAATAGAGGTTCTGAACACTCTTACAAGCTCTCCCCTTCAACATCCAATTGGTGCTCTCAGACATCACCAGGGTGTGTTTCAGAAGAACCCCTGAAGGGTTTGCAGCGTGTCCCACAGCAAACAGAAACAGTTCCAGCAGCAAAGTTTCTACCCACACTCTCTTGGTAGGCATCCTTCTCGGGCCTAACACCCATTACAAACTCCCCCTGAGTTCCTCTCCTCTGCACACAACCCCGTTAGCTGGGGATCACCCTTGGCCCACTCCCTAATAAGCCATTGTACTTTAAGAGCTTTATGGTACAAGGGAAGAGAGCTGGAAGAGGAAAGAGAAGGATTATCAAATTCAGGAAGTACCTGTTGCAGGAAAGTATTTGAGAAGTCTGAGTTGCATTCCAAGTGATTGCTTCTCTCTTCAACAGTTTCATAGGCGTGCCCAGTTGCTTGGTTGGAACATGGGTGGTTCAACACCCAGAAGGTCCATGCTGTCTCTGCAAAGACAGCTCCACTGCAGTCAGACTCAGTGGGCCTCTTTATCATAACCTGCTGTCTCAAGATCAAGTTTACTATACCCTTGGGGACAATTATTTTGAGAACAGTGAAAGAGACACGCTCCCTTCACTTGTATATGCTAATGCTATATACTTCCATGCAGAAATTACCTCACGTAAGCTGTCAGCATGCACCTCCCTTCCTTTCCAAATGATGAAAGAGAGACACGAACACAGCACCTCCTCTCTGCATGGCCTGCTCAGAGGGCCATCCACCCACTGACTGCTCTGAAGCACTGACACACCAGAGCTGATGTGAGGGATCACAGGTTTCGGAGCAGAAGGCACTGCATTAGAACAGTGGCTGAACGTGGCCTCATTTCATCCCCTACTTGTCTCTTCTCCTTCCCCATCATATGATTTTCCCACTCTTCTTGGAGACTAAGGTAAATTCACAACCAAGCAAGAAGCACAAAGGGCCTGTAAGGAGCAGGCTGCTTTCATTTCGCTGCTATTAACTGACAGATGGCAGTTAACACCCACCTCAACAATTACAAAAAATAAAAAATAAAAAAAAATCAGGTTAATCATCTCAGTATTTCTTTTACAATCACGACAATTTTGGCCCTTGAGTTTCATTACAAGTTCTTTGCTCTTACATAGCATCTCCTCTCTCAGTTGCTCACCCAAAGGCCTGCCCTTTGCAACCTAGCAAGAGCAAACCTGAGGCCCCTCCTTCCCTCTCTTCCTACCCCTACAATTTTTTTCCTAGAAGGTCCAACAGCCCTCTTCTTCTCAGGCTGCAGGCAAGGAAGGGGCGAGCTGAAGAGGAGCAGATACCATTTAGCATTAGGAAGAGTCGTTTTCCCTACCTTCCCTACCTCAGAAAACCTGAGAGGAAAGGAAGGGGTGGGGAGGCAACGGCAGACTGAGCTTTGCTCAAATGCATGGATGTGGCTAACAGCTCTCACTGCTGCCTTCCGCACCCCAGCCTCTGTTGTGGCTACCACCGAAGGTCGTACATGTGCTAAGCCTGCCTATTTTCTGACCTACGCGAGGCCTCCCCTCTCTATTCCAGTGAAATCATCAAACAACACTGGCTGCCACAGAGCAGGAAACAGCACTGGGGCCACCGGCACCCTGTGAGGCAAACAAACAATTTTATACATTCAGTCACAAAACACCGAGAGAACAATTCTGGATAGTTTCACAACACTAACAACAACAACAAAAAGAGCCATTCCTTTCTCAATAAGCTTCTTGCTGTATGAGGCTCTGACATAAGTAAGGGTCAGTTCACCAACAAATTTAAGCTTATTTTGGACAACAGAATGGCATCTGGGTGTTCTCATAATAATACCCTGGCTGTGCTTGAGAAAGAAAGAGAAAATAAAATAAATACCTCGGTCTGACTTCACAAGCAAAAGGGCCCCCAAGCAAAGGCAAGACAATAAGGGAGCATGCAGGAGCTACAAGGCTACTTAATGCCACTATTTAAGTGCTAAAACTTGCTGTTCCAAGGCATCGCTTACATATCTGAGCAACAACATCTACTTTGTAACCAGCCAGGAACAGAGGCACCTTTCCAATTGTTTTTAAACCAGTGTTAACAACAAAGGTTTTCTAATCTCACGAAGCCCCTCGGTCCTGTCACACAGTGAAGTTACTGTGAGAAGATTTATGAAAGATAAACTTCTGCCCCCAAACACAGCTGGTCATTCTCATACTGGAACAGTTCTGAAGAACAACCGTTAGAAGAGTTCTTCCTTGAGAGGTTTGTTTCTCGTGCACAGTTCACTGAGTTCTACTGGCTGAAGTTTGTTTTTCTTGTTTACAGCCATAGAGCCAAATGAGGTATGGGAGAGTTAGCCCATTTCTATTCTCAGCTTGTGCTTTGAATAGAGTTATTAAACTCTGCTTCAGCTGGATGCTATTCTGGCTCTCCTAATCAAATGGAATGTGTAACAAAACTGTGAGCACAGCATCCAATTTTCATATGTTAGCTCTAGAAGTTCCAGCTCAATATCCAGACTTTGGGATTGAACCTAAAGATGGATGGGATATGGGAGAAAAGTGAACCCAGAGGAGCCCTGCTGCTATCAGAAGTACAAAAGCCCCATGCATCTCTACATCTGCAGACGTGGACTGACGTTAATTTTGAAGTCCCTGAAGACCAGCTCCACTAAGGAAGTCTACAATGATATGTTGCCAGACACTGGAAATGTGTTAGAAAGACCAAAAGAAAAATCTTTAATGGATTTTTAACACTGCATTTGTGAATGTAAAAAAAAAAAATCCCAATAGCAAAACAAAAGAAACACAACAAAATGAAATCAACCCTACAGTAACTGCTCAGTTTCCTACCACAGACTCCTCCTCACACACACAAACCAAACCCATGCACAAGCAATGTGCTGCACCTTAACCTGGTCCCTAACTCCTAACTGACCTGTACATAAAGCAGCATGGGAGCCAGGTACCTTGTTCAACACTCCATGTAGTCAGGTGATTAGTCACTGCAAAAAACACGAGCTAACCTAATCCAGGCATGATTAAGAGATGAAGCTGTGGGTGTATCCTCTTTGAAAGAGCACCACAGGTTTTTTGAAAACCTCTACTGCAGGAGAAAGAAAAGATGTTTAAAGAGAAATGCCAAAACAAAACACTGAGAAGTCTCAGCTGGTGAGTGGAAGAAAAAGCAGAGGATGCAGAACTGGTTTACTATGACAAGCTCCTTCCTGCCATGGGATTGGTACTGCTTCCAATGTCAGCTGATGACTGGAACCTAAATAAGTAGGAAGGATTTTGTTGTACTTGTACAATGTGATGGTAGCAGTAGCTGCATTAAACGAAACAGATCCCATAAATGCCATGAAGATTCAGCAGGGTGAGCTGGAATTCAAGAATTTGCCCCAAACGAGCTAAAATATTGTGCTTCTCTAACTGTGACTACCTGACCTACTGCAACCCCAGTGAGCAGACTCAGCCATACTAAATGCCCACAGGTCACAGTAAGAAAAAAGATAAATGTTTTCTGCCTGTTTGGCAAATATCAGGGGGAGGGGGGGGGGGGGGTGTGGGGGGGGTGACAGTGTGAGTGATACTGCACAACCTCACACACTGCAGAGGAGAGCAAACCAATTTATGTGATACAATTCCAGATTTGGAAGCCTTACTCCAGACACCCACATTCAACAAACATCCTAGGCCTGTATAATTCCCTCATCAGTCTGCCCTTGCTGTTCCAAGCTTCTTCCCTGCTCATTTTTCACTTCTCACCCTCTCTAATTTCTCCATAATTAAACTTCCACGTTGCTTATTTGGGAGACAAAAGATTAGCTCTGAAATTCAGGGTCTTCCCCGTGGTCCTGAAACTGCAGCGACACAGCAGAAGACTGGCCTACTTACACAGCTTCGAGATAGAAGGGGAAATCTTAAGTCTGCACTGACCTGTCACGTCCTGTAAGAGGTAAAATCTGCTTTTAATAAAAGCTTCAGGGGGCAGCCCAAGCATTTTGCAAGAAGCAGATGTTTGGATGACCAGAAGTCCCAGAGCTCCCAAACTCTGAAGGTCAGCAGGCAAAGCCCTTCAAAGGAACTGCTGAACACTGCCCAATTCCACAGAGCCTATACTTCAGAGCTCAGAAGGCTCATAGTTTCACACAGAATAAATACAGCAGGAAAGAAATGCTTTGTGTGGAATGGGAAGAGGGAACAAAGAAGTTAAGGATGGAAATCATGACAGCCAGCAAACTCCTGCAGCTCTCTCTGGAAGTTCCCACCTCAGACTGTAGCTTACTTTTCTTGCTTTCCATAGGAAAATGTTTGTATTTAAAATTTTTAAATTACTTAAATAAAATTTGATTTCAAGAAAATGGAAGGGAATATGCATGTGCAGGAACAGATGCTATGCTAAACTACCAACTCAAAATACAGCATTTCTTCAAATACCTCAAAGCATCACAGGCAGTCCAGCATGAGGCATTTAAGTGCAAGATCAGGCAGGGTCTATTGAAATGCAGACCACTTTCCTTGGCAAAGTTTTAAGCCTTCCAAGGGGAAGTTTCCATCAGTAAAGAAGTACAGGATCACAGATACTGTGAGGAGACTGGAGTCACGGAAGAACATTACTCAGACAGTACAATCCAAGCATTCTCCTTGCTAAGAATTACGATTCCCCCGCCCCCACCCCACCCCCTTCTACTCTAATGCATGCCTTCTCCGCATGTTGTTTACCTTGGATCTCCCAATGGCATCCAAGAACAGAATTTGCCACTAATCAAGGTCCATTTCTAGCTCAGTTCTGTCCAATTCCTGTGTCCTGGGCCTGCGCCAGTATATTGAATATCTTTGCAGTGCCAGGCAATGCTTCAGTTGTCTTACCGGCCTCTCCTTCCAGGGAAGGAGAGTCAGATTTCAACCAACTATCATCACAGACTCAGGGCAGCATCTGTCATTAAGTCAGAATTTGGCAGAAGATAGGAACACCCCACTTTCCATAACATATTTCTCACACAGCATAGACAAGCCTGGAAATATTGTTTAGCATAGACAGAGTGGTATGCCTCCACTATGCTGGGTTTCTGGGCTTTTCACAAGGGCATAATGAATTTAGTTAGCCAATTTATTTTTCAGACACGCGTTTCAGTCTTTTCTGTATGACCAACAATCAGAGAAACCTCTGCTGTCTACATGGACCTGCTGTGCTGCACAGCCTTACTTACCACAGACAGGCAAATACGGTTCTGAAGTCCTGACAGCAGGCCCCAGGGAAAACAGCACTGGAGAGAAAGTCTTAAGAGGCTGGAGTGATCTACACAGGTAGGATCCATCGTCTCTCAGTGCTGCATGAAGAGAGGGAGGAGGAAGGTGGGAAGAGCAACGCATAGAGAAGTATCTTTATCCAACGGATATCAATTGCAGAACAAGGCAGCAGGCTAGAGACCTAGCTCTCTTTCCACCTCCACATGCCCTCTCCCCACAAATGCAGCTGCTGCCACTTAGCAGCATAAAAGCCAAATTGTTCAGCTTGCTGCTTCGACATCTAGGAGGGGAGTCTTTGCCAGGGAAAGGGCTGTCAGTTTTTCAGATGGACAAAGCAATGACAAACACACACCCCCTATGCTGCCTTTTTTTTTTTTTTTTTGCTATCTGAAAGGGGAAAAAGGAGAAGAAAAAAAGGTCTCTGTAAACATTCTGAGACATTTTGGATTTTTTTTTTTCTTCTTAAGGGATAAAATAAGCCCCCTCCCTAGCCCCACTCTAAAAGCACTAGATTTGGGGAGCACTGAAAATGGAGATTCACAACTGCGCACTCCGGTCTCGGAAGAAGCCCTCAGCCACTTGTGCTTCTCTGAAAGTGACGGTAATGGAGTTTGCCGTGATGTCTGTCACTGTCACTTCGCTGGGGGGCACAGTGGGAATCCAAGGGAGATTGCCATCCACATCTGCTACAAAAGGAGAGGCAGACAGAGCATGTTAGTGAGAGGGAGAGAAGGTGGAAGAGAGAGAGAAGCAAAGAGGAGGATGGAAAAGGTGCCTCGTTTCTGATAAACGGTGGATGAAATCAGCCTGTATTCAGTCTGCACACACGAGGCAAGAGCGAGCATGGGCAAGCCCTCCCTTCAGAGAGGCTAAGGAAAAACAGAGGATCACTGCAGATTATAAAGGGAAAAGCAGACGGTTGTAAGGGTGTTCAGACACACACCAGCACTGGATAAGCCTACATGGAGATCGACAGGATGAAGTAACAACACCCAGCGCCTCCAGCCATTCACAGTTCCCCAGTGTCTCCTGTGCCTTCTCAACCCATGTGCCTCTGTATCAGCTAAACACACTCATCCAAGAGCAAGCTGACCTTCTTGCAAATGTCTTACCCCCATAAAGTCAACAATGACAAGCTCTTAGATCCTCTCATGAGAGGCATAGGGATCCAAAGATGAGGGTCTTCTTCATATTGCATCTGTAATGCAGCCTGGCTACAAAACATGAGTATTATTTCACAAAGAGGCTGCTCTCCATTTCTCATGTTCTTTCTTTGCTCCCCGAGAGCTCCATAAGAAACTCAAATATTTCTGCACTTTGGCACTGATAACTAACAGTCCCTCTCCCCATCCAAAACCTCACCATCCCTAGCTCCCAGAGACAGCCACAAAAATAGACAGAGAAAGGAAATATACCCTCCCTCTACCACTGTACCTGCTCTGTACCTTGTTACCTCAAGCTGTGCAAAGAATATGGGAAATATATTCTTAAAAGGTTATTTATGGCTTCTTCTTGTCACACTTGAAGTGTGTAACCCTAACACTAACTAGAATTCCACACATCCCATATGCCATGGGGAGAACAAAAACCATTTTATGTATCTCCAGTGCCATTCACCCTTCAGATCCCCAAATGCCTTGGAGGCTAGCACTTCTAGCTGAAAACAGCCCCTCACATTCGCCTGCTGCCAGTATGTGACTCTGGATTCCTCTGTGCTTGTCCCACTGCTTCCCCCTTGGATTTCAGGTGCTGTTCTAGTCCCAGGCTGAAAGAGGGGATAGTGCTGATTCCCTAAACACAGTGTTCTCTCCAAAATCTTGCCTAATCTGGCCTGGCTAACAACTACTCCCAGCAAGGAGTAACAGGATTCTCTTAACTACTACAAGCAGCACAAGCCCTTGTTTTCCACTCCTCAGGAAGCCTTACGCCTTCAGAAGCTCTAATAATGCAAGGATAGAGTTTCCCTGGTAACTCAGAGCAACGTACACATCCCACAGCCCTCCTGCACAAGAGGATGGTATCCCTCCCCAAAATGCCAAATGTGCCAGGCCATCTCTCATGCCTACACTTATGCTGCCTACTCAATGGGATCAGGCCGCTACCATCCTCAATTATCTCTCTCACCTCCCTCTCACATAAGCTCTACAGCAACGGGCTTTAGAGAGGATGTGGGGTGTGAGGAGGAAAGGGAAGGAGGGGGCAGAAGGAATGTACTGTGGGTTCCTAAGGACATTCCTGTTTGCTCTCAGAGCAGCACCAGTAGAGGAGCGCCAATGTCAGAGTCTGCCCAAGACCAGCCAAGCTCCTTTTACATGAGCAACAGGAAAAACACACACGGGTGTGTGGACAGAGGCAGAGGTTATTGTCACCTCTGCCAGAAGGAAACTGGAACACAGCATTAACTTCTAGTAACTTCTGCATGTTTTCTAACACGGGAGTGGTGCCGTTGATTTAAGACTACAGAGAGGTGACAGCATTCAAAAACTATAGTCATCCAACCAGGAAAGAAATCTGCAGAAATGAAAGCCACAACGTGAACCAGCAAGAGATGCTCTGAGGATCTGACCTCAGCCACAATCCCAGGATGAGGCAAGTAAGGAGGCAGCACGCAGAGCGTCCTTCTCATGCCCCAGAACTTCTCAGCCAAGGGGTGTCTGGCCTTACCTTCTTTGCCGGTGTGTTGCACAGCCTCCCAGTCCTCAGGGCTTTGCTGGGTCTCCAGGTCTACTGCGTCATTCAAGAAGAACTCATGCCTGCAGCTGCGGTTCTCCAGGCTTGCCATGCGGGGGAACTTCTTCCTTGACAATCGCAAGTACTTCTGGTTTTTGCGTTGCTTCCGGAGAGAGAATGGCAGGACTGTTCCCCCAGTCTTCTCAGAGAACTCTGCCTGCCCTGTCTTGGCCCCTGGCAGGCTACTGTCTCCTCCTCCAAACCTCCGTGCAAGAGAGAAACAGAGCTTTTCCTTTCCCTTGTGGGCACTCCTCAAGTCCATGCCATACAGCCGCTGACAAGAACATCAATACAGCAAGGTTCAGAATGGGAATCTGACGATGTAGTCATCAGGGCTCTCACCTGGGGGCCAGGAATCTATTCTTACCTGAGCATCTAGGTGACCTAGGAGAAGCTGTGGTGCTCCTACAACACTGTTTCTCTCATCTCTTCACCTGCAATCTAAACTCTTCCTTATATGCTTTGCCTAGGACTGGTTGCTTTGCATGGCAATCATCAAAGCATGCAGCTACTACCTTTCACATGCTGGAAAGTCCAAGCCCAGTGTGAAGTGAAAAGATCATGTCAACCAGGCAAGATCCTAGTTCAGAGAGCAAGAGCTGTTTCTTGTGCTTTTGTGTCTTTTTTTGCCATTTTGCTAGCTGCTGTTCAGCTAACAGGTTAAAAGTACCTCCCTATCCACCGAGATCAAGTTCTTGCATTAGCATTTTACCTCCAGTTTTGTCCATGCAACAGTGAACGGACAGTTTCCACCTTCCTGTGAGCAGAGCAGCAGCACAGCACTAACTAATCAGAAATGTACAAAAGAAAAGCAAGAAGCTACCTGCAATAGGAGGCGCTTTGGTTTGGGACCTCTTTTTCTGTACCCTGAAGCACGGTCTCTCTCTTCCCTGTGAAGGATGAACACAAATCAAACAAAGCAATAAACACCACAGCACAAAGCCTAGCCAGGACTTCCACCTTTTGCAAAGCTCCCTCATTTCCTCTGTTAAAAACCAACTGTGAATAGCGTGGACTTGGAAAGCATCCCAGAACTGCTTCTTGCAGGAGTGAAATTCTTGCAATACAGGAACTTCTCTGACTTAACTGATCAAGAACGGGCTAGGGAAACTTATCACCTCCCATCACTCCAGTCCAGCTCTGGACCCAATCAAAACCTGAGAACAATTGTTCTTTGGCTCAATGCTTGTGCTTGGCCTCATTTTGCCTTATCTGCCTCATCAAGGCCAGGTTACAGAGATGGAGAAGGACTTGTTGCTGCATGTCTCATCTTTGATTGAAGTGGGGACACCACAACAGAATAAGGACACTAGTTCCTGCACCCAGTGAAAGAAAAGAACACACACACTTACTTTTCTTCGTAAGCCACTACCAGGCGAGGGTCCAAGATATGATCTTCTGGCTCCCATGTGCTGTATCTGAAGAAAAACATAAGGAATATAAAGTAAACAATGCTTTAATGAAATATTCCCTCTGCAGGACCGTTCCCAGTGTGCTGAGACCCTGGATATTGTCTTCACAAGGCTCCGTGGGGCCTGCCACAACACTGCTAGAGCTCTTAGGAATTCTAGCCAGTCCCCCCCAGACATCACCTCCCCTTCCACCAAACACCAAGCAACAATTTGCAGGAGAGCAGGGAAGGCTTTCCTGCCAGTGCTCCCTTCACACTATTTGCAAAGCCTGTGCAGAGCCACAAACTAGTCTTAAGGCAAAGCATAAACAGGTCGCACTTGCAGCACTCCCAGAAATCCAGCAAATATATGGGACAGCGAGACGAAATCTGATACAGCTTTCTGAAAAATAGGTCTCTCTTAATTTAGAGAGCTCAAAGATTAAGTATGCTTTCTTCCTTGCATTATTAATTACCTCTAATCACTGGAACCAAAAGTATTTCTTTAAGAAGAGTTTAATTTTTCTTCACTGTTGCCATTCAACTGAACGTGTTTAGATTTGGGCCTGAGGCAAGTAGATGGCAATCATCCAACTACTGCTCCTCGTACTCAGCTCCCCCTGCAGGTTATTTCTGCCTAGCAGAGGTCGCACAGGAGGAACCCACCTGCACTGTGGCTACGACTACTGAAACTGCTTACAATGAACTCAACACTCTGAAGGCAACCCATGAACACTGTCATTTGCTGCTCCCACTTCCTCTGCTGCCAGACAGCCACAATGGAGCCAGCTGCTCAGGAAAAGGCTGACACCACACGGCAGGCCACACCAAAACCTGTTCCCAAGGGGCATGGCTGTGGTTAACACCAAAGAGAAGCAGCCAAAGATTCCAATGGTGAAAGGCTTCTGGAAGATGAAAGGGTCACAAGGCAGTCCTTGCAGTGGGTTTATTCTAAGGGCTCACGGTTGCCAAGAAAAGATGGGCAGCACATCTTTATTATGCAAACCCTAAAGCAAAAAGGTAAGTCTGACATCCCAAATGCCTCAGAGCATTCAGTTTCCAGCACGTGATGTCCAGTGTCTCAAAGCAGAGCTTCTCCAGCCCCCGGAAAGGGGGACAGACAGGAAAAACGTACACGTGGCAAAGGTGCACTTGTAGCAGTGCCTTTAAACTCAGAAAAAGCATTTTAGGAGGCTTACATTTCTGGATGAAGCACAGCCTGCACTGGCAACATGTGGCACACTCACATACATACACAGGAAGGTGGACTGCTTTTTCCTTTCATCTACTCATGAGCTAGAAGAAAGGTACTGAAAGACAGAAGAGTTCCTGGAGAATGGTTCTATAAATGGAGGTACAGGTTTGTTTGTTTTTAATACCAAACTGAGAAGCAGAAATATGGAATTCAGATATCCCTAGGTGCACTGTGCATCAGAGGGTTAAGAACAGACGTCTTCATAACCAACTGATCCACCCTCCCTCCTTCGCCCAAGCCTCTTGCAGCAACCTGACTGTGAGCTGTCAAAACCAAGATGCTGTTTGAACAGAGGAGGGTTTCCTCCCAGCTGCAGGGATTCTGGCACTCATTCCTCAAATTTCAGAAAAATGGTAACGCAAAGGGGGAGGGGGGGGGGGGGGGAAACATCAGATCACTTTTCATAGGCAGGAGAAGAAAAATTTGCTTCGAAAAGAAAAGAAAGAAAGAAAGAAAGAAAGAAAAACCCTTGATGGGTGTTGCCTTTTTCTCTGCAGCTCAATTCCTGGCTTCACTGCAGTGGCAAAACACTGCATATAAAAAAAAAAAAAAAAAAAAAAAACAACCATGGTTCTGTCTGCCACACACACACACACACAGCTATACATACGGGCACACACAGCCCAGGCTGCAGCAGAACTGCAGAGAGCAGGCACTCTGGAAAACATAGATCATATGATCCTCCTTCCCCCTCCTTCTACTCCTCCTCTTCCCCCTCCCCTCTTAACTCCAAGGCAAGTTGTAAACAAGCTTGTAGCTAGAATCAGGCAGTCATTCCTTCATTCCCTGACTCCAGCAGTACAGTCCAGGAATCCGAGGAATGGGGCATTAACACTTTGTGTGTGTAAAATATCAAATAAATGTTAAAGCAGCAAACATCAGTTCTATGCTTGCTTTTTTCCATGAAGCATTCAGTGGGAATCACAAGATAACTGGTACAGAGATTATAAATAACAATGCGACAAGGTTGAGGAGGGGAATGAAGAGAAATATGATGTGGGACGAGAAAACAGCAGATGTTGGGAGACAAAGATGCAAACAGCTTGTGGGGTGTTACATGCCATCACAGGCATATTTCTGTTTAGAAACAAGGAACAGAGACTGCTAGCAGGATGAAAGTAGCTTGCATGCTCAAAGCATCTTGGTTTTAAGCAAATCAAACTGCTGTGTAACAGTTTAAAAAAAAAAAAAAGCGTTCTTTGAACTTGAGTGTACATGAAAAAGGGGTTCGGACTTCTCACATCAAAATAAGGGAATCTTCATATTCTCTTGCTCTCTGGGCATAAGCTGTGCTTTTAATTCCCCAGAGATCCTGTTCCCCTACAGTTCCAAGGTATAGGGCATGAAAAGGCAGTAGCAAGAATAAGGGCTGCTCTGTCAAAAGAAACGTGATACCAAGTCTCACTCCACCTTCTCTTGCAATGTCATTTGCCAAAAAAGATCTCGCTATGTTTGCCCAATTCTCCTTTCCAGATACATTAGTATTCCAGTCAAAGGGGACAGTGCCTCACAGACTAGAAACGTTCCCAACCTCTGATAATGATTACATTAGGTGTAGCTACTTAGGGGGGGGCAAAAAGGCCCAAGAACTGATCCACATTGCAGCTGGTACTCATTAAGAGCACTAGGTTACACTCCAACAGCAGGATTTACAGTCAAGAAAACAGTCATCCCAATTTGACTATCACCACCAGAGAGGGAAAGCTACTTATGCACGCCCTGTAAGCACAAGGATTAGGCACACAGAAACACATTCCACCTTCTTAAACATGAGGTACAATCTGTCGGGATCACATCCAAACACCCATCAGGATCACACCCAGCATTTTGCAACTACAGGGATGAGCGAGCAGAAGTTCCCCTTTGCTCAGCACCGTCCAGGGCAGCCAGACACACTGCAGTCACACCCAAGCACACTGGGTACCTGCAGAAAAGCAGACCTCTCTCCCCATGGGTAAGACCATGAGGCTGTTCCATCAGGCTGCTAGCTGACACAGAAATGTTCTCCAGTTACCTAATCTTTTTAATCTCAAAGCATGTCACAGATTGTACAGACACAAAGCAATGACTCTTTTTCAGCGGCAGCTGCATTTTAATAAAAAAGCATCTGTAAACAGTGCACAGCAATGATGCAATATATACATATATATATACTGTTTCCCTCTTGCAATATGGCAGCCAAAGCAAAGGCAGAAAAGGCATTGAGAACAACAGAAGGTTTCAGACAAGGAAATAAAGGCACTGCAGTAATTTCAAAGGGACAAAGATCACCTCCAGTTGGCTACAATCCATCTGAAATATTGCCCCTTCCCTTTTGTGAATTGCAGAGGGGATACAGTAGGATAACAAAGACAAGACCACTGCCTTGTTTTCTATGTTACAAGATTACATATAGCTCTACAAATAAAGTGCGGTCCCCTTGGTGCTGATTCAGAAAAGCAAGCACCATTCAAGGCTCTGAAGAATCAAGGTTCCTTGTCAAACCATACTGAATTATAAAAGCTTTTTAACTAAAAATCATCTCAATGAAATAGCTCAGTAGTGGCAAAACCCAGTCAGAAGAGGTTGGCATACAGACTGCATCCTTCGGCTGTCAGTGTGGAAACAATACAGAGTTTTGGTTTGTGGCTCTTTGTTTACAGCTGTCAGAATGAGGCACATGAGGTTACCCGTGAAGAATGAGACTCTTGCTTGCAAAGATACAGTGAATACTATTAACAAATAGTTAAGAAAAAGACAAGTAGAACAACTTACTTTGGGGGCCATCCTTTCCACTTCACCAGGTATTCTACTTTACCCTGGAGGGGAGAAAAAAGAAGGAAAAAACAGGTAAAGTCTACAACCAAATATGGGCTACGGTAAGAGAAGCAACCAATCAACAGGACTGAGCGAAGAGCTCATTTCCCACCACTTCATTTTCAAAACAACACCACTTCCTCTTTCAACTATACTTGTGGTATCTCCTTCCCTGTGGGCACGGAGGGCTGTTTAAAAGGATGCAAACTCCCCACAGCTTGGGACCATCGCTGAGAAGAATCACAGAGGCTAGAAGGGACCTCCGGAGATCAAGTTGGACCCTGCTTCTAAAAGCAGGTTCCCTACAGTAGGCTGGAGCAGGAAAGCATCAGGCAGAATCGCAAACGCCAGACTGCAGCCATCCCTGCATTTACAGGGAGCCCTGCAAGAAGTCAGCATGCATAAAAGCAAGAGGGAGATGCACGCCGGGAGCAGGTGTCAGAGGAATCTGTTCAAGCAGAGAAGATATACAAGACTGAGATCCTATGAAGCGTCACTTTAGCATGTTCCAGCTGCTGCACCAGAGCACCACTCCATCCATCACAGCCACTCCACCTTTCAACCCAAACAGCTCAAGCTCAGTGTTAACCGCTTATCTGTTCACCCCAAGCACAAAACCAAACAACAAACACACAGCAATCGGAAACCACACGCAGAGGCCCAGAAGAACGTGCACAACCAGCAAAGAAATCTTTAATGTTATACCACAGGACTTGTTAAACACTTCTCAGAGCACTGTAGGAGGATGGAAGCGCTGCTGCTGCTGGCACCAAGTGACAGCACAGAAAGCACAGCCCTGCAGCCCGTGTTTTCCAACAGAGGGGCTCCCCAGCTTCCAGATGCTTGCACACACCGCCCTATAAGGCACTTCCCGACGACCAGACGCATAAGGCTAGCCCACCCCCCCAGGGACGGGGTTCCCCCACTCAGGGAAACTGAGTCACCGAGCTGAGGCCGAGCCCCCCAGCCACTATAGGGTGACTCTCACTCACAGACCCCCCGCCCCGGAGACACCCCCCTTCCCCGCCCCATCCCAGAACGGCCACCGCTACCACGCCCCCCGCTCCCGTGTGAGGAGGGAGGAAAAGAGGCGGGCCGGGCCGGGCTGGGGGGACCCCTCTCGCCCACCACGCGGCCCACCTTCCGCACACGCTTCTTGCGGATGCTCTCCACCGCGAACACCTGCTCCCCGATAGCCGACAGCTCCATGGCAGGGGAAGACAGCGGGGCCGAGGCCGGCGGTGCCCGTCGGCGGCCGTTGGCGGCCGTTGCCCGCCGCTCCCCCTCCCACGCCCCCTCCCCCCGCCCCGCTTTAGAACCTGCGCAACGTTTTCCTTCGGCGCGCGCGGGGAGGCGGAGCCTCGCGCTGGGCGGGAACCGCCGGAGGGGCCGCTCCCGCCTCCCGCCTCCCGCCTCGGCCCCCCTCACAGCCACTCCCGCGCTGCCCGCTCCCTTCGTTCGTTTACGTGACGGCCCTGAATTTGGGTAACGGCGGCGTAGAGCGGCCTGAAGCGTGCTTCGGGCTCTGTACCTGCACAGACCCAGCCTACTCAGCATCTCCAAGTGAAGAGCTTCGGAAAAACCGTAGCCAAACCCCAGAGCGTTTCTCTGGGTTGTGACCGCTTTTAATCCTTGTGCGACCTATAGCAGATCCGAGCTGAGAAATGGGGGACAATGTTCTGCTTGATGGTTGGACCAGGGGGTCTGAGAGGTCTCTTCCAACCTTCCAATGATTCTATTGACCATGTTGGGATAGAGGGGAAGAGAAACCCCGCCTTTGCTGCACAAAAACTTGAGGCTGAATCCTTTATGGATAGCTGCTGCACTTGGTAGTTCAGGACATCTACATCCCTTTATTGAATTTGTGCCGCCTCAAACTCAAGCATTACATATTTATTGTCAGTATGAGAGAACGAATACTGAAGGCATTCTTGAAACGAAGTAACCTGCGTTATAAGTAGAGGTGTACAGCAGGAGTCCACGTCCTCAGTACCATCAGGCAGATTTCTATGTGATCCTCCCCTTCATCCTTCCTGCTTTTGCCATTCTTCACCTCACTCCAACAACTGTTCCACGTGTGGCATAACAACATTCCCATCACTTGCATCACACTCTTCGCATGGGGTGAAAAGCAAGAATCCACCCACCTGTCCCAAGTCATGAATGACTGCTAAGTGAATGTTACTCAGTCTTCTATAGGAACTAAAAATAATGATGACAAACAAGCGGCCCAGTCTTTCAGATCTTACAACCTTTAAAAGCCACTCTGTGATAAAAGACCTTTTTAAAGTATATCAGGAATTAGATTACCAAAACCTTCACTGGAGTTGCTATGACTAATTGTACAGTCATACTAACACATAGAAAGGAACTTAATGCACAGAAAACCAAAGCAAATATTGAACCTTCCTTAGTACAAATCCAGAAACCCAGATCCAGGAGCCTTTAATCAAAATTCCAATTAACTTCAAAGAGTTTTACTTGAGTAAAAACTGCAAGCAAAATCTTGTACAGAGGAATTACCATTTTAATTGCTACTGGTTTGATTAAACGACTCGGCTTGCAGTAGATACAGGCACTTACATTAACACTAGAAATTTATTAACGGTCATTTAGATTCTATAAAGCCTAATTCTACTGAGGGTTTTTATTTTTTATTTTTTTTCAGAAGAGCGCAGCAGAGATTTAGCACAGCTTCAAAACAGCCCAGCACATCACAGAAGTACTGGACAGTGATAGGACAAGGGGGAATGGTTTTAAACTGAGACAGAGGAGGTTTAGATTAGATATTAGGAGGAAGTTTTTCACACAGAGCGAGGTGATGCACTGGAAACAGGTTGCCCAAGGAGGCTGTGGATGCCCCATCCCTGGAGGCATTCAAGGCCAGGCTGGATGTGGCTCTGGGCAGCCTGGTCTGCTGGTTGGCGACCCTGCACATAGCAGGGGGTTGAAACTAGATGATCATTGTGATCCTTTTCAACCCAGGATGTTCTATGATTCTATGAATGCTGCCTGACGTAGCTCCAGGAAACAACACTGCAGCAGGAGCAGAATGCCGCCGTGATTCTGTAACGCCATGGGAGCTGGCAGCCACGGGAGTCGTGCTGCCAATACTGTTTGCAACGTATCGCTGGCTTGACTGGTAAACCGCCTATTGCTCTGCTCTGCTGTGTGTTTAATTATCAGTAGATGGCACTCGTTACGCTGCTCGGTCTGTTTTATATGCAGGTTGTGCTTTTGGTACACAGCCTCATAACGCATCGCAAAAACAAAGGGCAGCAAAAGGACGAAGCCAGTGCTGCACTGGCCTCTGAGTCCAGCCCAGTCAGAGCTGAGCTGGCTTTGCAAATGCAGGCTGTGCTGAGTGTCAGCAGTTAGACTCCAGAAAAGCTACCCTATGGGAATGGGAATGCCTGTATTGATCAGTGCTCTTAACGCTATAGGTTTGCTTAAAGCTTGTGGAAAGAATGCAGCTGCCCTCTGCTGCCAATTGGCAGCCCCTCAGTTTACCCAGAGTCTTGCATCAGCCGCCAGCAAATGACGTGTTTGAAGCTGCACTTTTGTTGTGTGTGCCTTGCCTTGCTCTGATTCTCTCCCAGCTCAGGGATTTCCCAGATTCAGAGGGCCAAAAAGCCAGAGCCCCAGCACAAGGTGCTGTTTCACCTTGATTCTATGAGCTGCACCTAACAACTTTCTGCTTCAGCCTTTCACACTAGACCAGAGCACTCAGCATTTCCCTTCCATTGTGGCCATGCCTTGAGTGCAGCTCTGAGGTGCCAGGAGTGTGATCTAAATGGAATAGCAAGCACCAAACCCCAGACTGTGGTCCTCTAAACAGGGAAGATGACACCTTGGTGGGCCCCTCAGCTTTCCTGCACGTTAGCTTACACCTGGGTGCAACTGGAAAACATTCTTAGGCGTTTCTTCCTGGACTTCCTCAAAGAGCTCAGTCAGTTCCTAGGACAGGGTCAGTGCCAGAACTAGCAGCTACTATTTGTCTTTGAACATACCGCTGAAAGAGGATCTGTTGTTTTCTTATCTGTTAAACTGTAGCTCAGCAGTTACAGCACACACTAGTGCTAGACATCAAAGTCCCATCCCTTTTCTGTCTTTGGGACCATGAAATCCATCTTTGGGGTTATTGTCTATCTTGAGAGTAAGGGGCATACAATCACCTGCTGACGTTGTCCTTCTTGATGCAAGTCACATTCAGAACTCACTGGACCAGGGAACAGGTAGCTGTATGACACAGCCCAACCTCACAGCTATTTTCCTGCACAAGAGATCCGTGTCCTGGTATTGGTCCCAATCCCTGGCTGCATGCACGTGCTGTCCAGTGACTGATTCATGCAAAATACGTAAACGTCCTTGTGAAGGTGCTGAAATACCTTCCAAGATAAACAGTTTGCTAGAGAATGGGGTTCCTTCTCCCTAGGCTGCTCTGAGTGCTGAATGCTTCTGTGTCGCAGCAGGTCTGAAGTGCACTGCTGTGGTACACAAAGTACACAGTGCTGATTGCTCCCTTCTCAGGAAGCTCTAGGAGGATTTTCAGTGCTCCGAACCTTAGGACTGAAACATGGGTGGGCAAGGGAAAATAAGTGCTTTGTCATTTTCCTTGTTTGCTCACTTCTGTGGGTTTCCATAAATGCATGTATTTGTGATTTCAATCGAGTTCTGCTGTTTCAATGAATTTGAATTTTGTTGTTTTAAGGAAATGCACATGGACATATAAGCTTCTCATTTCAGCAGCATTCCTTTAGGGCGAGCGCAGTCTCCTGAGGCTTGGAGCAGGGCTTGCAGGCTCTCAACTCATGGACAGCAGCCCACTTGCCCTGTAGAGCACCCTAAGTCCCAAAGCCTCTTTTCACAGGACATTTACCATGAAAAGCATTGCACATCCCCCATTCTCACACTGGGAAGGGCCAGAACTGTGATGCTTGCTTTCTACGAGGCCCTCATCTGAGGGGTGCAGGCTGTGATGGGATTGGTACTTGTGCTCAGAGCTGGTCTGGGGCCAGAAGTGGGCACTGAACTGCATCTGTGCTGAGCCCTAGAGATACAGGAGGTAGGAGGTGACCTTTATCCACGTTTCAGGCAAAAATTGTAACACTGTGCCCTGCTGTGCCACGCCACACCACCCAAGAGTCCTTCATGCCACCAGGCGTGCAATTAGGGTTTGCTCTTCTTAGGTGAAGCTCTCGCTCCCTAAGCCAGCAAGAAGTTTTGCAGTGCGCTGTCATATACAATAAAAACAAAAATAGCAGGGAGCACAGCAGGCAAACACATCTTCCAACCCCCGGTGAGCATCCAGATCACCAGGCTGAAGTGATTTCTCTCTCCTAGACACTATTTGGCCATAAACCTTCCATCCACCGTGGTGCCCTACCTTCCTCGGAGCCGCCAGGGCAGAGCAAAACGGGCTGACGACTTCCTTAATAGAAGGAGATCCTTCACTGGAGATGGCTGAGGCAAGGGGAGCGCCCTGAATTAGCCTTTGCGGCCAACGCCTGCTTTTCACGTCTCAACGTCATGCTCGTTAGGTGGCACTGCAGGCTGGGATTTAGGGCGAGCGCAGTCTCCCGAGGCTCGGAGCAGGGCTGTGCAGGCCCTCCTCGTCTCAGCTACGTGTTTTATCGCCAAATTCTCGGGAAATCGTGAAGCCCGCGGCGGTGTGAGTGCAAGGAGCGACCTGAAGATGCTGCCTCATGCCGCATCTGGCCCACGGGGCCAGCGCTTGCCTCCGCTTTTGGGGGAAGACGCCCCACATTTTGAGAGAGTACCTCCTCCCCACAAACACCCAGAGCCGAACCAGGGAAGGGAAAGTGACTCCATTCTCCTACAGCGGTGGGAGCCACTTTTCTCCTCACCTCGCTTCCCTTGGCATGGCCTTGGCTAAATGTTTATCTGGGTTTCCAAAGCCAGGCAGCACATAGGCAGGATCTCAGAGTGCTCCCCTCGTGGCATTTGGCAGAAGAGTTTTAAGGCTCTCCCTTGGGCACTGCCAGCTAACCCTGGCCTGGTAAGAGCACATACCCTGGCTCTACCAAGGCAAACGCCAAGGCTGCTCCTGTCCTGGCCAGGGCTGTGCAGCTGGGTCCTGCCTCAACCCAGCACCTGTGCCCCCCCTCCCCTTCACTGTCTGAGGCCGGGAGATAAATGCCCTTGAAATCTGAAGTAACCATGATAATTTGATTTTGAACAGGAAAATGAACTGCTTTTTTCCCCCTTATCTAATTGATTAGGAATGTCAACTATTCCTTTCTGCACAC